CTACTAAGCCATCTCCCCGGCCCGGCCTTGAGTTCTTTCCTCAGAGCCTGATGCAAGTGCGGAGACAGGGCTGTAGCAGGTCGCTTTCATTTCACCCTCAACTCTGTCATGTTCCGTCCAACCAGTATTGGTTGCAGAAATGCCTCTCAAGTATTAGGTGCCTGTGGGGTACCATAGCCAAACACGAGACAGTCACAGGTGGACATGGTAGACCAAGGCCTTGCAGCCACTGAGGAGTAAGACTGAGACAGTGTCCTTATTAATTTAATACTGACGTTGGGCATGCTCTGCTAGCAGATGCACCCTGTAGAAAAAGCAGATCTGGTCCTTTTAAGGACTTGCAGTCTCACAGGTTAGGTACCAGTGACCTTGCTGACCTCCAGCAAGCCAGAACCACCACCTCTGCCAGCCCAGGTGGCAGCAGGGGTGGGGAGAGGCCTGCCTCGGGCTGCTTCTGTGCACTAGAACACAGTGGCTGCCCTGCTGCACTACCCAGAGCTAGCCTTCCGCCGACTCGGGACCACTAGGCGTAGAGAGACAGGAAGCCTGGATGGGGCTAGGGCATTCGCCCGCGAGGGCTCGAGGGCACATCCTGCGGAGACCTGGGGAGACTGCGAAGGCGCTCAGGGCCGGAACCGTGTTTGGCTCTGAGCCTGGGGACTTCCCGGGAGCAGGGTGCAGATCTGACCCTCGGGACACGCTGGGGCAGGAGGTAGCACCGAGAAGGGCCACTCTGAGGGGTCGAAGGACCCTATCACACTAGCAGAACCGGCGCGGGGAGACGCAGCCGCCGAGATAGCGGTCGAGCGCACCCAAATCCCGGCGCTCAGGAAGGCCCGCCCTCCGCGCCAGGCCCACTCCTCATTGGCGCCTCCTTTTCCTCGGATCGAATGAGCGGCGCCTCGTCTCTGCTTCCGGCGTGACACTGCGAGAACACCCGCGCGCTAGTGTCTCGGCTGCACGGAGCGGCGGGGGCGCCCTGAGGCTGCGGTCGAGGGGAGGGTGCATCAGGAGGAGGGCGGTGCCTGCGCCGCTGGAAAGGGAGAAGAACGCTGGCTGCTGGAGGGGAGGGGCCAGTGCGATGGGGCCAGCTGCCCTTCCGCTTGTAGCATGAAGCACCGCACGCTCACCTGCACCCCGGCCCTCTGGGCCTCTATCCTGTGTCCACGCGCGGAGCTGCGCTTGGACCTGGTGTTAGCTTCTGGACAGTCCTTCCGGTGAGTGGCTGCACCTCGGAGGCCCCTCCCCTGCTTTGTGCTGCTGGCCAAGGTGTAAAGGAATGTTAGGAATAGTACGGGGGAGTTAGGTACACCTCAGAATTTTAAAAAGAAACTAAGCGCTGCTTTATCAAGGTGATAAGTCTGCAGCGTTGTGAGGTTAAGGCGCTAAAACTGGTGCAAAGGGTAGCCCCGTTACTTGGTAATTGATAAGTCAGCTTTGTAATCGAGTCATCTAAGGGACAGGAGGGACCCAAAGGGTGAAGGAAAGGAAGCAGGATGAGGCCCATCTGCACCTGGGTACAGGTGGAGGGAGCAGAGCCCTGCACACTGGAGTGGCGTGCTGGCGGGCCAGGTGTGGACACTGACACAGACCGAGGAGCAGCTGCACTGCACTGTGTATCGGGGGGACAAGGGCTGGCTCGGCAAGCCCACGCTGGAGGAGCTGGAGGCCGTGCGCAAGTACTTCCAGCTGGATATCAACTTGGCCCAGCTATACAGCCACTGGGGTGCCGTGGACCCCCACTTCCAGGAGGTGGCTCGGAAATTCCAAGGTGAGGATACAGCCCCAGTGGAGACTGGGTGCTTGTGCATTCGTTGTCTGTGATTCTGTAAAATGGGTCTTTTGTCTATGTCATAGGATTTATGAGGAATAAAGGAGCTGAGAATAGTTCCTGGCACATTTTTATCACCATACTGATCGCCATTATGAAATTATGGAGCCTAGGGCCAGGGATGTAGCTCAGTGGCCTAAGCACCTGCCTAGCAAGCGCAAGTCCTGAGTTTGACTCCCAGTAACCAAAAAGAAAAGAAAGATAGAGGCTAACCTTGGTGGCATGGCCTGGGGCAGGTGACTTTATTCATTTTGTAAAGGTGTCAGAGCAACGAGTATGTAACTGGTGATAGCAGGGGACAAAAGGGACATTAACCTCTGTCTGCATGGTGCTTGCATTGTTACTTATCAGTGAAATGGGGTAGTAATCCAGGCCTCCTCGGGTGCCACAAGGAATGAAAGATCTGGAACTGCTTTCTGTAGCAGTACCGCCCCTCATTATCTTCAGACCCCACTCTGTTCCCCAGGGGTGCGACTTCTGCGCCAGGACCCCACTGAATGCCTTTTCTCCTTCATCTGTTCCACCAACAACAACATTGCCCGCATCACTGGCATGGTCGAGCGGCTCTGCCAGGCGCTCGGCCCTCGGCTTGTCCAGCTTGATGGTGTCACCTATCATGGCTTTCCCAGCCTGCAGACCCTGGCTGGTGAGTACATGGAGCCTCTTCCCCCATCATGAGGTAGAATGAAGGGACACACGTCCTGCACCTAACAAAGTGCTCACCCCACAGGAAGTATATAGAAAATTCAAGCTGCAGTCACTGTTAGGAACCACAGTTCTGCTCCTAAAGTACATGCATGTTGTGAACAGCAACACTATTTCACAAAGGCGTGGAAATCAGCTAGCAGGTATAAGAACTAAGCAAGGCGAAGCACTTGGGAACTGCACAGCAAGGTGATAGCCCACCTCAAAAAAAAAAGGCATTTTTGGAGTGCATTAAAGCACTCAGGAAGCTGAGGCAGGAGGATTGCCTTGAGCTAGCAGCCAGTCTGGACTACATAATGAGTTCAAAGCCAGTCTGGATAGCATAGCAAGCCTCACAAAACAAAAGAGAGAGGGACTGAGATTTTTGGCATTTAGAAGCTTGGTCTTTAGTTCTCCACTGCAACC